ATAGATAGATAGATAGATAGATAGATAGATAGATAGATAGATAGATAAGAGATAGGTAGATAGACTGACAGACAGATACAGACTTTTGCTGTGGCACTGTAGGATAAGTGCTGGACTGCTAAATACAAGGATGGTGGTTCAAACTCACCAGCTGCTCCTCAGAAACCACATCCAGAGTTACTATGAGTAGGAAACGACTCGATGGTATTTTAACAACAACAACAAAAAAAAAAAAAAAAAGTCCTGAAAAGGTGCATAAATTGTTGAATGGAAAAAACTGATCTGGCTCTATAAACCTTCACCCAATTCACAATAAAAGGTTTTTTAAAAATAACAACAAAAAATAAAATGTTAAAAACAAAGAAGTCACTTTGAAGTCTAAGGTGTATCAGACCCAAGTCATGATATTTTTTAGTCACCTCATGTACTTATGTTTGGATAATGAATAAGGAAGCCCAATGAATCGATGCCTTTGAATTATGGTGTTGGAGAAGACTATTCAATATGCCATGGGCTGCCAGAGAATGAACAAATCTGTCTTGAGAGAAGTACAACCAGAATGTTCCGTAGAAGTGAGTTTGGTGAGACTTCCTCTCACCTGTTCTCAGAAGGGACCTGCCACTGGAAAAGGATACCAAGCTTGGCAAAGTGGAAGACCCTTAATGAGATGGACTGACACAGATCTTCTCCATATGCTGTATCGAAATCCTGTTAAGAAGCCACCACCTCATGATCAGGAATAAACCAAACCTTCATCTCTCGTTCTTTGGACATAGTGTGAGGAGGGACCAGTCCCTAGAGAAAGACATCAGGCTTGGTAAAGTGCAGGGTCAGTGAAAAAGAGGAAGACTCCCAACAAGATGGACCGACAAAGAAGCAACAACCATGCACTCAAAGATAACAATTGTGAGACGATGCAGGACTAGGCCGTGTTTTCTACTGTTGTGCTTAGGATCGTTAAGAATCAGAACCAATTTGATGGCATCTAGCAACAACAACAAAAAATTCCTAGGCTGAGAATCAAGACCTCTGAATTGCTCATCCCTGCCCTTGATGAAATGGAAAGGCAGACAGTCCAGAACATAGACAGTACAAAGAAATGAACAGGGCTTGGAGAGTACCAAAAAAGTCCGATGTGTTGTAATCCAGACAGATGGTGAGTTGTTAAAATGAACAAAAACAGAGTCTACGCTGATAAGAAATACCTAGAGCAAACAAAAAAGACACCACTCTGGAAAGGCTGGTTTATTAAGCAATCGTACAATATTACTAAGTGGGCCTTTGGTCCTAGCTGGAAATGCAGTGTCTAACCCCTCAAATGCACTCACCTCTCGACAGAGGAAACAGCCTGGCCTCCGTACAGCCATAATCACTGCTCCGTTCTTTTCCCAGAGCTCCTTTGCTTTGAAAGTCCTGGGTTCTGAGAGAAAAGAAAGGGGGGTTCAATATCTCCCCCAGCCCTGCCCAACCCAGCCACTGGACTCCCAACCCCACTAGACCCCTAGTAGAGGATGAGGACAGACATTTCACATGTGGGACAAGGCAAGTAGGAAACACAGTGAGGGAATATTCAGCTTTTAGAAGAAAATCGATGTACTGTAAGAGTACTACTATATACCCCAAAAGCACTCCCCCCAATCTAATGTTAAATTGAACATCCTAAACTGGGAGATTACTGGAAAACAAACAGCGATGTCCTTTTTCTTTTTTTTTTCTGCCAGCATCACTAGACATTGTAATAATCCTTTAGGGCAGAAAATGGTCCAAATCTGGAAGTGATCATGCACATTGACAAAAATAAATCCCACTCTTACAAACATCTTCGGAAAGATGAAGTCAACAAAAATGATGAATCTGCACAATCACTGCTACTGCCCTCCCACGACAGCGGCTTCTGGTTGCAGGACCAAGTTGGAGACCACCCAACTGTAGAACTCCAGTGAACACCAGTCCAAGTCTTACATCTGCTGTTGCACCAACACCGCTGGTATGACTGAAATCCCACTGAGCTTCAGAGCCAATGCCGAGGGCACACCGTGAAGTGGCAGAGCTGCCAGCTCGGCTGTGTGATGCTCTCCAGGCAGCTTCCTAGAGCAAGCTGACTGATGGGTCATCCTAGAAGTGTGACTTTGTAGAGCACTTCTCTATATGTGGCAGCAGACCCCTGGTAAATAAGGGTGACCACCCCATCTCAGTAGTTGGCCAGATCTCTCAATTCAATAACCCTATCTCTGTGCTGAGCGTCAGAATTGGATAAATAATGCTTCTCAAACTTATTTGACTTGGAAGCTTCTTTTTCAGGAAAATTCTGAAATTTGGAATTCCTCAAAACACACTCTGGAAAGGCTGGTTTATTAAGCAATCGTACAATATTACTAAATATTATGGAGCAATTTACTAATAAAAGTCTTAGAAAATGAACTTTTTCGTAAGGAAAAGCTAACATGTAAAACAGCACTTACACCAAGATTACAACTACATAAAAATATGTATACATGAAAAAGAATTTGCAAAATAAAAAGGATTATTGTATTAGGGTAATGGAACTATTGGTAACTTTTAAAGCATTATTACATTTTTCCTAATGTTGTAGCCTTTTTCATTAAAAAAACAACAACAAATGAACAAACCAAACAAAGAGCTCTTTAGATGGAAAGAAAACACATACACACACACAAGTAATCCTTGGAAAAGTACTGAGAGCAGTGGGTCACCTCTCTTACCCTTCTCCAGTGTTTTCAGGTCTACATCTTCCAGATACTCCAGGGTTGCTTTCTGAGGCTTCGACAGAAAGATGTCTGTGTTGGCCAGGAACAGAGCCACAGCAGCAGCCCCCAGGGCCCCCGCACCAATGGACCACACACCCATGGTGAAGAAACCTGGGTCCTGGAGGAAAGACATTTCTGGAGAGTGAGAAGGAGGAGATGTTACTGCTCCCACAAGGCAGCTGGAATCTGATCTCCCCTGCAAGGCTCTAGCTGGGCAGCCAGCCAGGCAGCACGGAGGTGAGGGAAAACGAAGGAACAGCAGCCAGCTGCGTCAGAGATGAGACAGACAAGGGCTGCTGAGCACCTGTCACTAGAAGAGCCTAGGGTTCTCAAAGACACATGGCGGATCCTGACCCCCAGAGCTCAACAGCCTTCCCAAATGCTGTTGAAAGGACGACAGAGACATGGCAGCCTTCCCAAATGCTTCTCTTGTCTCCTGCTCCCCAGCCCACCCCCAAGGTTGAAGTCTGTGGTGCCTTTCCAAAGTGCATCCACTGGCTCAGCTATCATCTACATGGGTAACAGACAGCTTTCTCTTATGTAATCAAGAGGAGTTAGTACACCAAGCCCACCATTCTGCTATCCACTTTTCTTATGGGTCAGCCTGTGATGCCTCAGGACCATAACCTATCATCCAGCCCATCAGTGCCAGCAGAGCCTGGCCCGTGGTAAGCATGCAATCTCAGTAAAGTTCCACCAATGGCAAATAGTTTTATTGTTTACTATTACAGAAATGAAAGAAGCTCATGGAATAAACGAAAGAGACAACACATATGAAAACAAAATCCTTAGAAGCCTACCACCTGGAGATTTGTTGTTGTTAAGCAAGTGCCTTCGAGTAGGTTCTGACTCTTAGAGACCCTATCTAGGATTTCCGAGGCTGTAAATCTTGGTGGGAGCAAAAAGCCTCATTTTTCTCCCACGGAGTAACTGGTGGGCTCAAATCATGGCCCTTGTGGTTCGCAGTCCAGTGCTTATTGTATGGAGACATTACGCAAGTCACTGTTAAACTCTGGTCCCTCATCTGAGATTTCCCCCCTATAAACAGAGCTACACAGATGGCTGTTGAATGAGCTGAAAGAATAAGGTGCTCAAGTGTCTGGGTCAGTAGAGGGTGGGGACGCTTGTCCTGGTCTCCAGCTCAAACCCAGGTGGTGTCTTACTAAGGTTCCCTCCAACTATGAGACCTTGTGCTTCTGGGTAGGAGCTTCTAGAAGCAGCCCTGCCCTGAACCGGAGGCAGAGACCCCATCTGGCCTTCTTTCTCCTGACAACCACTTGCCCTTTCCATTGGGCCCTCAAGCTATTCCAGGTTCTTACTTATATTGTGGCCATCCTCCAAGGGCCAGTCTGAATCTGGATGTTAGATGTCTGGGTAGAAGCCCAGGTGTGTGGATGGATGGCCCACCTAACTACATTCACCTCTCGCTTATAAGGAGTTGGCTGAAAAGACGATTTTCCTGAAGAATTAAGCAAAGGTCTGGAAATCTACCTGATTCTGCCAAGGGAGGGAGCTGTCAGAACCTCACTGATGGCAACTTTGGGAAGGAAATGGTGGCACAGACTAGATTTTATGCTGGTCTAAGCAGTTTAGGTAGTGTAGTGGTTACAAATCAGGCTGCGAACCTGAAAGTCAGCAGTTCAAACTACCAGCTGTTCCACAGGAGAAAGATGAGGCTTTCTGCTCTTGTGATGATTTACAGCCTCAGAAATTTACAGCGACCTGTGCAGGGTCGCTATGAGTCGGAACCGACTCCCCAGCACATAACCACCACCACCAGGCAGTTTAGTGGAGTCCTGGTGTGGTGCTGTGGGTTAATGTGCCGGACTGCAAAGTTGTTTTAAACTGCAAGGTTGGTGGTTCAAGCTCACCAGCTTCTCCCTGGAAACCCTATACAGGGTCGCTATGGGTTGGAACCGACTCGACAGCACTAACAACAAGAACAAACAGTTTAGTTAGGAAATAAGTGTGTGTTCTGCTGGGAGAGAAGAGTTTTGTCTCTTGGCTTTAAAGAACAGAAATGTCTTTTGTCACAGTTCGGGCAGCTAGAAGTCTGAATGCAGAGTGTCAGCTGTAGAAGGCCTCTTTCCAATTGAGAGAAGAGTTCTTACAAGCTCATGGCATCACCTTGGCCCTTGTGTCCTTCACTTGAGAGCTCAGTAGAACCCCACGCTGCCTTGAATCAGATCAGCAGGTAGTCCTTATCAATGATAAAGTTTGACAAGCATTGTCCCAGAGCAAAACATGCAGGATGGTGAGCCTGGTTGGCTGTAAGCCTTTGGGGCCAGCTGGCTTATGACTGGGACTGCTCTCCCAACTCCAACCCCAGGTCATTGTGGGAGGCAGTCACAGTCCAATGATACAAAAGACATGAACTTTATCTCCAGGCTTCTGTCTGAAGGCTCCACCTCATCCTAGTCTCAAGACCTGGACCCAAGAAGCTTTCAGAACTCTGCCCATCCCCTACTCCCACCCCATGAAGTATTTTAATTCATTGCCTCCTCTGTCTGGTGTCCGGCCTCACCCACAAACCTTCCGGTGTGTCTGACAACCTGAAATGGACCCATGTTTGTCAGTTTCCTCTTCCCAATCTCCAGTGTTCGGCACAGAGCCCAGGTGGTCCATAGGGTACATCAGTGTGTCTGACATGAATTTAAAACATGACTTTAAGATTGATGCAAAGGCGACAATTTATGGAAACCCAAAGTTCTAGGTCAAATGGGGAAGAGCCTTCAACAGGCTTGCTTTCAATCCTTTTACGTGGCCACATTACCCATTATTAGATTATAGCTCACAGAGCAATTAGGAGGAAACCACAGTTCTCACCTGCTGCGGTAAACAGGAGGTTCCCCAGAGCCTGGAACAATGTGCACTACACCAAGTCCTCCCTGGAATCCTGACATGTGTGTATGATTCAGAACACATGGCTCAGTCTCTGATCACAGAGCTGATAAACTATGAGTCAATTCACAAAGGCCAACACAAATCTACTGAACAAGAGGGCTTGTGTCCACTCCTGAAACACATAAACACATTTACAGACGTCCCAACACTTTTGTCAGCCTCCTTACGTCCTTCTAGCATGCCACCATGGTTTAGGAGAAATCAGGTTCCATTGCCCCCACCATTTCCCAGTCAGGTGGCCCACTGAAGTCATCTCACCTGTCTGCTCATGTGTACAACAAGGGGATTAGAATGTACTAGACTCAGCAATTATCCCCAGTTATTTATTAAATTGACCTCTTTAATAAATGGCACTTTGCGGGAGGGATAAAATTGAACAAAGGAGATGCAGACTTAGTGCGCAACAGAAATGCAGGTGGAAAGGTAAGAACACAGACTATGGGAGTGTGCAGATGCGTTCCAGTAATGTCTGGCCTAGGCTGCCACAGGACCCAGAGGGCAGTGGTCTGGGAGCAGGTGTCGAACTCAGGGGCTGGGGCAAGCATCAAGTTTATTCAGGGGGTAGATGTCTGCATTAAAGGTACTCTGAGAACTCAAACTTCCATGTCCCAATGGCCCCTCCATCCACGTTCAAGGTCAGGAGAACAAGAGGAGGGTTTCAAAACCACCTGGTGCCTTGCTTTTTATCCCCTGGCTATGCTACAGAGTGTGAGCGAAAGAACAGCCCCTTTGGTGGTCCTTCCCCTCAAGCTCTGAAGCACTAGGTTATGAGACCACTACTGGAAATAGGTGTGAGACATCATATACAAAAATAAACTCAGCATGGATTAAAGAACCAAATTTAAAACTGAGAACTATAAAAATCATCAATGAAAAAGTAGGGACAAACTTAGAGGCTCTAACACATTGCAAACACACACTATCAAACATTGCAAAGAACACACAAACAGTATTAGACAAAATAGATGACTGGGACTTCCAAGAAATTAGAAACTTTTATGCATCAAAAGATTTCATGAAAAAAGTAAAAAGAGAGTCCACAGACAGTAAAGTATTTTTGCAACGACGTTATCAAACAAAGGACTAGTATCAAAAATTTATAGAAAACTACAACACCTACACAAGGAAAAGACAAGTAACCCATTTAAAAAATGGGCACAGGATATGAACAGACACTTGACCAAGGAAGACATTCAGGCAGTCAACAAACATATGAAGAAACTTACAAGATCATTACCTACTAATGAGATGCAAATCAAAACGACAATGAGATATCATCTCACACCAGCATTAACAGTGAACTTCAAAAAACCAGAAAACAACAAATACTGTTGAGAGTGTGGAGAGCCTGGGACCCTCCTACCTTGCTGGTGGGACTGTAAAATAGATCAAGTACTCTAGAGAACAGTATGGCACTTCTTCAGAAAGCTGGGAATAGGAATACCTGTAGCGTAGTGGTTACGACTTGGGCTGCAAACCACAAGGTCAGCAGTTTGAAACTACCAGCGTGCTTCGCAGGAGAAAGATGAGGCGTTCGGCTCCCGTAAAAATTTACAGCCTCGGAAACCCTGTACAGGGTTGCTATGAGTCGGAACCGACTCCATGGCACACAGCCACCACCACCATGACCCAGCAATTCCTCTACTTGGTTATATGTTGTTGTTAAGTGCCGGCGAGTCGATTCCAACCTATAGCAACCCTGTATAGGGTTTCCAAGGAGCAGCTGGTGAGCTCGAACCACCAACCTAGCAGTTCAAATGACTTTGCAGTCTGACGCATGAGCCCACAGCCTCTACTTGTATATATCCACAAGAAATATGGGCCAGAACAGGTGTAGATATATGCATATCAATGTTTATTACAGCACTATTCACAACAGCAAAAAGGTGGAGATAGCCAAAGTGTCCATCAATGGAAGAATGGACAAACAAACTTTGGTATATACACACAATGGAATACTCTGCAAAGTTGAATAACAATAAATCTGCAAAACACCACATGATATGGATGAACTTGGAGGACATTATGCTGAGTGAAATTAGTCAATCACAAAAGGACAAATATTAAATGAGACCATTACTGTAAAAGCTTAAGAAAAGGCTTCATTCATCCTCGCTTTTCAGGAACATTTTGGCTGTACTTCTTCCAATGCAGACTTGTTTATTCTTCTAGCAGTCCATGATATATTCAATATTCTTCACGAACACCACAATTCAAAGGCAACTGTAC